GCAGCATTTGCCAAATTAAGCCATATTCTAAAAAGTTCAATTCCCATGTGTCTCAAGCGAAAGGTTTATAACCAATGTGTTTTACCTGTACAAACTTATGGAGCAGAGACTTTAACACTCACGCAAAAATCTGCTAATAAACTTAGAGTTACACAACGAGCCATGGAACGTGCAATGCTGAACGTGAGCCTTCGAGACCACATAACAAACCAACAAATCAGGCGAAGATCAGGAGTTCAAGGACGTCATCGAAAGAACCACGACGCTTAAGTGGAACTGGGCAGGGCACTTAGCCAGAACACAAGATGGACGGTGGACAAGACGTATTATGGAATGGAGGCCCAGAAATTATAAAAGAAGCCGAGGACGACCACCGACTAGATGGACCGATGACATAAGAACTGAGGGAGGCCTATGTCCAGCAGTGGACGCGATTGGCTGATTGATGATGATGATGAAGCATGAGGTAAAGTGAGCCATATACCTAGTTCTTTTGTACAGAAAAAGTAATAAAACTTATATAATTACAAAATTGCACTCCTTCGATTGCTATTTGCTGAATAATTCCGAGCAATATACAGGGTGTTTCAAAAAGGTATGTCATAAATTAAATCACGCATTTTGGGGACAAAAATTAATTGATTGAATCCAACTTACCTTGGTATAAAAGTGTACACAAAAAAAGTTACAGCCCTTTGAAGTTACAAAATAAAAATTATTTTATTGCAGTATCTGCTAAACTACTTGACATTTTGTAATAAAATGGACACGTTAGTTTCTTGTTCTGAAATCATTTTTTATGCCAAAGAAACAACAAAACCTAAGAGCACAGAAAAATTTTAAGGGGGTGTGCAGCTCTAAATTCCCCCAAACTTTTGAGTACGTTCAAATCAAATGAATTTTGTGGCATCCTTAATTTAACACATTATTTTTAAAACTTTTTTGCCTCCTATCACTTTTTCTCAAAACTAGTTTTTTCCTAGTCGGCAATAAAATTACAATTAGTTTCTACGGATACAATAATTACAAACAGTTCCATCAATAATATTCAATAATTTGAAGCTATCATTTATTATGTGAATAAGATTAATATTAAAAGATATTACAATGACCTACATATTTCAGGAAATAACAGATATTCAGAACAACAGAACTTTGGGTAAGTTGGATCAGATTAAATTATGATTTCAATAAAACTATCGGGAATATCGTAGGTGAACGTCAAGGAAATAGTGCAGTAGTTGCAAGGCGTTATGCTTTAAAATACCCCAATCGAAATACACCCGATAGACGATTATTTCTTACCAATGATCATCGTTTACGGGAAACGGTTACATTCTAACCGCAAGTTGCTTGCAATAGTGGTCGTCCAATAATGGATGCAATGGATGAAATAATGGATGCAATGGATGGAATGCAACTGATGAAGACATTTTAGAAATAATTGAAGAAGTCCCTGGAATAAGTACAAGGGTAATAGCTGCTCAAGCTCAACTAAATGTTTCTTACGTAAGGTTTGGAGGCGTTTGAAGGATCAGATGCTTAAAACTTTTCACTTAACAACGGTTCAAGTGTTATTGGTTGAAGATTATCCTAAAAGTATTTGATTTTGCGATTGGTTGTCAATGGAAAATACTCGAAATCTTTAATTTTATTAGAAATATTTTGTTTACCGGCGAGGCTACCTTCAGTAGAAATGGAATAACAAACCATCATAACGAGCACATTTGAGCCGAAGAAAAACCTCACGCCAAAAAACGACTGATCACCAAAGGACTTTCAAAGTCAATGATTAGGCAGGAATTGTGGATAACAATCTAATAGGCCCAGTATTTCTTCCCAACAATTTAAATGGTGATAATTATTTGCATTTCTTGTCAAACGATTTACAAGAGTATTTGGAAGAAGTGAATATAGCAATAAGGCAAAATATTTGGTTTCTACAAAATGGCGCTCTGCCGCATTACAGCAATGAAGTCCGGGAATACATTTGCAGGCAGTATCCTGGTCGATGGATTGGAAGGGGTCATGACGCACCTATTTGTTGGCCACCCAGACGTCGAGGTCTTAATCCCATGGACTTTTTCTTTTGGGGGTTTATAAAAGAGAAAGTGTATTCTGTAACAATAGAGGACGAACAACAATCGAGGGTTAGAATAATTGAAGCTGCAAATCAATTTCGTCAGAAAAATATGATTTTTCAGCGTATTCGGTTTTCCTTATTAAACGATACCGAATGTGTATTGAAGAAAATGGGGGTCATTTTAAACATTTATTGTAATATCATATTTATAGAGGTTATAGATATTTTTTGTACTTGTTAATTCATTTAAGCCATTTATTTAGTTGCACGTAATTTGTTAAAGGTTAATGAAAAGGGCCATAAACTCAATAAAAACTGTTTTTTAAAAAAAGTGATAGGGAGCAAAAAATTTTTAAAATAATGTGTTAAACTAATGATGCCACAAAATTCATTTGACTTGAACGTACTTAAAAGTTTAGGGGAATTTAGGGCAGCACACCCCCCTAAAATTTTTCTGTGATCTTAGATTTTGTTGTTCTTTTTTATGAAAATGCTTTCAGAATAAGAAAGTAACGTGTCCATTTTTATTACAAAATGTCAGGTAGTTTAGGAGATAATGCAAAGAAACAATTTTTATTTTGTAACTTCAAAGGGGTTTAAATTTTTTTTGTGTACATTTTTGTACTAAGGTAAGTTGAATTCAATCAATTTATTTTTGTCCCCGGAATGCGTAATTTAATTTATGACAGACTTTTTTAAAACACCCTGTATACAGGCGGCGTCGTCTTCAACATCGAACCTCTTATTTTTTTCTTTTTTCTGAATATCATTTTGTTTACAGCTTTCCTAGCTGCTTGTGAAGTTGGCTTTGGTGTTTTTTATTTTTCCTTTAAAATTTCATTTGGTGTAAAGGGAAAAACAGTTTATTCTTGCGAAGGTCTTGAAGTCTGAGGAGGTGCCTGAAGTAGTGGAGATATATCATATGAGGTTATAAAAGTATCCTTCAGCGATGATAGAGTCTCATTCCTTTTAACGTCACCTTTCTGTTCTGAAGTGCTAACTTCGGAAATTGGAAATGAATTTCTACCTGCATCTCAACATTATGATTTAAAGCGAATTTAAAGATGCAGTGAATAAAGTTTATGTTTCGATAATTCCTCGGACTGTTTCCAAAAAGGCCCAAAAGATCGCCCACGTGCTTCCCCTTTAATTTAACTCATCTGATGAAGATATAATACGAATTTTTCTTTTCTTTATAGGTAAAGTACTTGGAAGTGGAGAAGTATTCTTTGTGAGGCAGCAGTTCTTTATTCACGGCTGGGAATAAACAGTCACCTTCGTTACGCTTTTCCAAACAAGCAATCTATGTTATAGAGAGCTATGACTTTTTTAGAGTTTATTTTAATCCATAATCTTTCTCATTGTAATACGCCATTAGAGATGAAAATACTACCACATCCTATAGGTGCAAAACGTGCGTGCAATGTAGTAGAAGCGGCAGCATTATAATGCCATTTTCTCTACAATATTCTATAGCTTTGTTACAATTGTGGCTTGAATGACCACCAAGCAATAATAGGACCTTATTTTCAACTGAGCACTGTTATGTTGTTTTAAATGCTTTAACAACATAATAAAGGTGTCGAATTTGATGTTTTCAGATTCGCTGTAAAAAGAAAGTATTCAGCAAGTGTTTTTCAATAGTGCTTGTTAGGAAACCAACCTATTTCTACCCTTTATGTGCTAAAATTTTGAGCAACTTCAACTTTCCGAAGTCAGTCTTATACTATGGAGAAGCTCAACCATTTGATTATCTTTTCCTATGCGAATCTCATGATCTAGGTATTTATAGGCCATTGCCTGTTCATTAGCCATACTTTGAGTGAAATTCTAGAAGGTGTTGTATTTTACCATCGAATTGATATCAAATTCTGATCTTTTTGTGCTCATGTAGTTAACTATACTTGATGTGTTATTATATTGTTATAATAACCTAATGCTAGCAAAAGTTGCCACAGCAAAAATGACCAAAATATGGAAGGACTGTCAAATTTCAAGAGCGATAAAGATGAGGTTGATCAACTGCTTAATATTCCCAATACTGACCTACGGATGTGAATCTTGGACTCTGAGACAATCGGAGAGAAGAAAGATAGACGCCACTGAAATGTTCTGTTCGAGACGAATGTTACGAATTCCTTGGACCGACCGCAGAACAAATAATTCCATTTTAAGAGAGCTAAAAGTTAGCCAACGACTCTCTAGTAAATTCCATCTCCAACAATTAAAATATTTTGGGCATGTTATGAGAGCAAACATAGAAAACATGGAAAGACTCATAATACAATGAAAGGTAGAAGGCCGAACATCACGAGGAAGATCCCCAACAAGATGGACAGATCAAATTACAGGAATATGCCAAAGACCTATGCATGAATTAAAAGAAATGACCAGAGAAAGAGATCTCTGGAGACGGACAATACACGACATCACATCGACCACTACACTCCCCCTGGGGGGTCAGGATTGAAGAGAGAGATATTGTTATATGTTATTATATTAAAGGTACTATTTGTAAATAAATTGGTACAGCGTTGCTTTATACTTAAAGAGATTTTTAATGTTATTTACGTGTTAAGTTATTTTATTAAAAATAGGGATCTTTATCATATAAAGGAACATAAAAGTCATTAGACCAATAATGACATATGTGGCAGAAAACACGACCTGACAGAAATGGGACAAAAAGAATACTAAAACCAGCACAAATGAACACTCTTAGAACAATTGATGGTAAAACACTATGGCACAAAGCTAAAAGTACAGATATCCGACGTTAGAGAACATCAAAGATTGGGTAGGAAATAGAAGAGTAAAATAGAACGATCATATATGAAGAGAAGAATAATTCGTAACTGTGTAATCGGTTATAGATAATATCAATTTGAGCATAAATTTAATTCACATACCAACTTACTTTAAGCCTCGTAGATTCTCAGCTGCGTACTGTCTGTAAGGTCCTTGAGTGGGTGAAGGATATACGTTTATTGGCAACTGGTAGGTGTCCTGTTGTATTTCAAGTTCTGAAGCATGTTGATATTGGTAGATGTTGCCTAAAAAAATATATAACTTGTGAGCATATTTTAAAGCTAAAATAGTCAAGTATATTACAAGTTTATGTTCAATCTTTGGGAAATGTGAAATTCATAAATTAAGAAATAAGCAAAATGAAATAATATCACGTAGAGACCAGTAAATATAGGTTGTCGAAGAGTTTTAAGAGGAATTATATGGAAGTAGATAAGAAGATCAAACACGAATACAAACAGCCATTTCAAAGAAGATCAAGAATCAAGGTTCCGAACTAATGCCAGAGATAAAGGTAGATGAGATTCGAGAAGCGTTAAGAAAAATAAAAAACAAAAAACCCCACAAGAGGACGGAATTGTAATAGAAGCTATCGTAAATGGAGAAGATTTGCTATTATAATCATCCTTTTGCATAAAAACGAGATAGAACGAACCTACAAAATTATATACCTATCTGTTGAAGCACATATACAAGCTCTTCACTAGGTTAGTGAAATCAAGATTGGAGAAAAAATTAGATTTCTAGCAACCGAGAGAGAAGGCAGGATTCCGATTAAATGATAGTACAATGATCACCTCCATAAAGTAAAGACACTCATTGAAAAATCTATAGAATACAACAAACATCTTGTCCTCACTTTCATAAATTTTCATAAAGCGTTTGACACGATCGAAATAGACAGCCCTATAGAAGCAATGAATAACAGCAGGACAGACCATAGGTATAGTAAACTTAACAATATTTACAAAAATGCCACTATGACTGTTAAGATACAGGATAAAACCCGACCAATAAAAATAAAACGTGGGATAAGGCAAGGAGATAAATTGTCGCAGATGACATTGTCCTTATCATAGATAATTTAGGAAAAGCCACATATATGTTAAATGAATCGGACTGTGCATGTTGAAAGGTGGGCCCCAGAATAAACTTGCCCAAAACTAAGTTTATGACAAATATGGTCCCCAACAACCATTTACTTATTCAAGACAAAGAGGTAGAACTGGTGGAGAAATATACGTGTTTGGATCGTGAAATAGACCAGCAGGGATAACCAAATACGAAATTAAAAGATGAATTACTTTAACGTGGGCAGCCTTTGGAAAACTGCGAGACACTCTTAGGACCAATATACCAATTAGCCTCAAAAGAAAAGTATTTGATCAATGCGTATTACCGATCATGACTTCATCATCATTCAGCCCATACTCGTCCACTGCTGAACATAGGCCTCCCGTAGTTCACCCCACAAATTTCTGTCCTGAGCCGCCTGCATCCAATTTTGATGTGTCCGTTTCAGGTCATCCGTCCATCTTGTTGGTGGTCGTCCTCTATTTCTAAAGGCATCTTGTCTGGGTCTCCACTCAAGAATGCGTTTTGTCCATCTGCCGTCCTTCGTTCTCGCGACGTGCCCTGCCCAGTTCCATTTTAAGGTTGATATTCTTTTGATTGCGTCGGTTACTCCCGATCTACGGCGCAATTCTGTGTTGGGTATTCGGTCTCTCAGGGTTAATCCCAACATGGACCGTTCCATTGCCCTCTGTGTTGTTCGAATTTTGTTTGCGGACGTCTTAGTAAGTGTTAGCGTCTCCGCACCATAGGTTAGAACTGGCAGCACACATTGATCGAAGACTTTTCTCTTCAAGCAGATGGGAAGGGCTGATTGGAAAACATCTCTTAGCTTTCCATAAGCTGCCCATGTCAACCCTATTCTACGTATTAGTTCATTGGTCTGGTTATCTCTACTTAAGCGAATTTCGTGTCCCAGATATTTGTATGCTGATGTTTGTTCTATACTTGTTCCAGCTATGTTGATGTTCTCACTCAGAACAAGGTTTGTCATCACTTGTGTTTTTGAGTTATTGATCTTTAAACCCACTTGTGTAGAGGCATGGTAGAGTCTTTCGCACATTTCGATGGCATGATCTATGCGGTCTGTTATCAGGACTATATCGTCCGCGAACCTGAGGTGACTAAGCTGCTCTCCATTAATGTTTATGCCTTTTTCGTCTAGGTTTGCACGCTTACACATGTATTCCAATAATGTTGTAAACAGTTTTGGCGAAATGGTGTCGCCCTGGCGAACTCCGCGATGAATTTTGAACTTGTGTGTATCTTCATGGAGTCTGACGCATGCCGTGGCATTATCATAGATATTTTTGATGACAGTGGTGTAGCGGTGATCTATTCGGCACTCTTTTAAAGCTTCTAGCATTTTCTGGTGGTTTACTGTGTCGAATGCTTTCTCATAATCCACAAATATTAGGACGAGGGGTTTATTGTACTCTATACATTTTTCGATGAGGCTTTTAATAACTTGTAGATGGTCGTTTGTGCCGAAGCCTGACCTGAATCCTGCCTGTTCGCATGATTGGTAAAAGTCCATTTTGTTCGAAAGTCTGTTTGTTATGACTTTTGTAAAAAGCTTGTATATGTGTGAGATGAGGCTGATTGGTCTATAGTTTACGAGATTTGTTAAATCTCCTTTCTTAAACATTAGAATGATCACTGCATTTTGCCATTGTGATGGTGTTGTTCCTCTTTCAAGGCATTCTGTGAAAAGTATGGAAAGCATTTGTATCAGTTTCTCGCCTCCTAATTTTATGGCTTCGGCAACGACCCCGTCGTCGCCAGGTGACTTGTTATTTTTCATTTGTAGGAGAGCTTTTTTGATTTCATCAACAGTAACATCTGGTATGTCTTCCGAGCCCTGGTTTAGAACCTTTGGTATGTTGTCAGTTGGAACATTTTCTTCTGTTTTGCTGTAGAGTTCGCTGTAAAATTGTCCGACAGTTTGTAGAATTTCCTGTTTATCTGTTATTATTTCGCCCTTTGTGTTTTTCAGTTTGTAAATATTTTTCTTTCCTATTTGCTGTTTCCTTCTGAAGACTTTTAAACTTTTGTTCTCTTCTATGACTTTTGATATCTCTCTGGTGTTGTAGTCTCTTATATCTTTTCTGATGTTCTTAGTGATTTGTTTGTTTAGTTGTCTCATTTTTGTTAGATTGGTTCTGTATTTATCTGTTAGTTGTCTTCTTTCCTCTAATAGAGTTTTCGTGCTTAGACTTAGTTTTTCTTCGTCTTTTTGGTTTTTTGGGCAACATTTTTCTTGTGCTTGTTTCAGAGCTTTGACTATTTTCTGGTTTAGTTGTTCGATGTTTATGTTTTCTGTTTCTTCGTTTTGTAATTTTTCTTCGACCGTACGTTCAAACAGTTTTGCATTTTCAGGTGGTACCCATCTTCTAACGTTTGGTTTAGGAACAAGCTTCATTCTTTCTTTTTTAACGTTAAGCATTACTTTTGTTCTGATCATCCTATGGTCGCTGCCAGCAGAGAACTTGTTGAGTACTTCCACGTCTTGTATTATATATTTTTTATCTGTAATTATAAAGTCGATTTCGTTTTTGACGGCGCCATCAGGGCTTATCCAAGTCCATTTGTTTTGGGGTTTCTTTTTAAAGAAAGAGTTCATTTGAAACATGCATTGATGATGTAGAAAGTTTAAAAGCATGTCCCCTCTTGCGTTTCTTGCCCCGTATCCGTACTTTCCTAACGCGATCTCCGCTTGGTCTTGTTTGAATCCGAGTTTTGCGTTGAAGTCGCCCATGAGAACAGTATAGTGTGTTCGTGTTCTTTTTTGTGCCTCTGCTACATCCTCATAGAATTTTTCAACTTCTTCATCTGTGTGTCCAGTTGTCGGGGCGTAGACCTGTATAACTTTTAAACTATAACGAGAGTTTAGTTTTAATATCAATAGGATGACTCTCGTGCTTATGGTCTCGATTTTTGTTATGTTGGGTATGTGTTTTTTATGTACAATGATCCCGATTCCACCGCTGGATGAATGTTCCTCTCCTCTGTAGTGGAACAGGTGTCCTGATTTCAATGTTTGTTGTTCTTCTCCTCTCCTTCTAATTTCACTAAGTCCCATTACATCCCATTTTATTGTTTTTAGTTCGTTTTCCAGTTCTATTAGTTTATGATCGGTTGAGAGGGTTCTTATATTATAGGATGCAAGATGCAGTATTCTTGTGCAGTTTAGCCGTCTTGAGTGGTAGCCTGGTCCATCCCGGGTATTCTTAGCACCCTCTGCTCTTAATCTTTTCTGTCCGCTACCTTGGTCAGAGATTTTTGAGCTGCCGGGGACTGAGGGCCGTGTTTGGTTTGTGTTTTGCATGTTTACGGGGGGTTTGGCCTTAAAACGCCACGCTGGCCAGACGTGTTGGCGAGTTGGGGGAGGATATAGGGAAGGAATTTGGGGTTTGGGTAGGATAATATTGGGGTTTGGGCCTGGTTTCCCCTAAGTAGGGAGTAGAGGAAAACCAGGAGCTCGCGTGGGCAGGGGCGCTACCTCCCTGAAGTAAGTCTACCCTCTATCGGGATCATAGAGGGGTACCTACCCGCTACCGCTTGGATCATGACTTATGGAGCGGAAACTATGACTCTAATCAAGACTACGGCTTATAAATCGAGAGTGGCGCAGGGACAAATACAACGGTATGCTGGGAATGACTTTGCGGCACTAAACTAAAAAGGAAGATCTGGGAAGAAGGACGAGTATTGCTGATGTTGTGAAACACATAGCGGAACTGAAATGGAACTGGGCAGGCTATGTAGCGAGAACGCATGACTCACCATGGACGAGTAAAATTACAGCTTGGAGGCCAAGAGATAAACGTAGAAGAAGAAGGCCACCTACACGTTGGGCTGACGGCATCAGGCGTATCACCAAAAATTGGCAACAAAGAGCACAAAATCGTTTAGAATGAAGGAGTTTAAGGGAGCCCTATGTACAGCAGTGGGCGTGATAAATGAAGGCTGAATGATAATGATGATGATGTTCAATATTTATTTTATAAGAGTCTTATTATTACAAGGAAAATATAGAATGCAAAATTACATAAAATAAAAACATAACAGAATAAAACCCTGCTTTGCCACTCGTCTGGTATTATTATTGTCTCTTATAAAGCTGTCCACACTTTCCCAGAAATACTATCTGGTGCACCTGTTTACCTATCTT